AACACACAAATATAGTTAACTGATCTTTGGCAAAGGAGCAAAGGCAATTCAGTGGAGAAAGGATAGCCTTTTCAACAAATGGTGCTGGAACAACTGGACATCTTCATGCAAACAAAAAATGAATCTAGACACAGATCTTCAATTTTTACAAGAATTAACTCAAAATGGATCATAGACTTAAATGTAAAATGCAAAACTATAAAACTTCTACAAGATAACATAAAAGAAAATCTGGTGACCTTGAGTTTGGCAATGACTTTTTAGATATAACACTAAAAGTATGATCTATGAAAGAAAAAATTGATAAAAATTGGGCTTTATTAAAATTAAAAACTTCTCTGCAAAATCCACTGTTAATAAAATGAAAAAACAAGTCACATACTGAGAGAAATATTTGCAAAAGCCATATCTGGTAAGTGGCTGATATCCAAAATATACAAAGAAATCTTAAAATTCAACAACAAGAAAATGAACAACCCAATTAAAAAATAGGCAAAAGATTGAAATGTAACCAAAGAAGATATACGGATTGCAAATAAGCATATGAAAAGATGTTCACCATCATGTGTAATTAGAGAATTGCAAATTAAAACGAGATCCCACTACATACCTATCAGAATGGCTAAAATCCAGAACACTGACAACACCAAACACTGGAGAGGATGCGGAGCAACAGGAACTCTCATTCATTGCTGGTGGGAATATGAATGGTACAGCCACTTTGGAAGACAGTTTGGCAATTTCTTAGGAAAAAAACATGCTCTTACTATACAATCCAGCAATCACACTCCTTGGTATTCACCCAATGATCTGAAAATTTATGTCCACATAAAAACCTGCACACAGATGCTTATAGCAGCTTTACTCATAATTGCCAAAAGCTGAAAGAAACCAAGATGTCCTTCAGTAGGTGAATGGACAGACAAACTGTGGTACATCCAGACAGAATATCATCTAGTGATAAAAACAAATGAGCTATCAAGCCACGAAAAGATATGGAGGAGTCTTAAATGAAGTAAAAGAAGCCATTCTGAAAAGTCTACATACTGTATGATTCCAACTATAGGACATTCTGGAAAAGGCAAAACTACAGAGACAGTAAAAGGATCAGTTGTTGCCTGGGGTTGGGAGGAAGGAGGGAGAGGGATGAATAGGCAGAATACAGAGGATTTTTAGGGCAGTGAAACTACTCTGTATGATACTTTAATGGTGGATACATGATGTCATTATACATTTATTCAAACCCACAGAATGCACAGCACAAAGAGGGAACCCTAATGTAAACTATGGACTCTGTTAATAACAATGTATCAATATTGGCCCATCAATTGTAACAAGTGTACTACACTAACTGCAGGATGTCAATAATAACAGAAAGTGGGGTGGGGGAATATATGGCAACTCTCTGTACTTTCTGCTCAATTTTTCTGTAAATCTAAAACTGCTCAAAAAAAATAAATCTATTAAGTTAAAAAACATCAAAGGATGCTAAAAGGGCAGTTTACACATAAGGAAATTTTGACTCTAAAAATCATCCTGTGGAACACAGAAATCTCTATTAAAGTTATTTAAACCAGTGGTTCTCAAAGTTCAGTGGGTATCAAGAGTCCTCTGGAGGGCTGGTTAAAACCAAGATCACTGCCCTTGCCACCCGCTCCCCCCCCCGACTTTCTCATTCCCTAGGTCTGAGGTGGGGTCTGACAATTTGTATTTCTCACAAGGTCCCAGGGAATGCTGATGCTGCTGGCCCTGCACATCAAGAGAGATATAAAGTCTGAGAAAAATAAGAGCAAGGCTGAGTAGTAAGAAAATGGGATTTTAGAGTATCCAGGGGTACGTATTAAACAACCCAAGTCTTTTCTGCAGAGCATATTGGGAGAACGTGGGAGAGAAGGATCAAGTGTCAGAATTTTTAAGTCCCACCTATTTAAGAACTCAAGAAAGAAGACTGAAATATAGTATCTGTCTCTTTCTGCCACTGTCTCTCTCTCTCTCTCTCACCATTTGTGATACTGTATTGCTATGCTGACCTGAAAATCATAAATCTGTAATGGGAAATCAGTAAAGGCACTAAGAAAGGTAGGAATGACTAGATCAGCCTGGCTGATGTGGAGAGTAACTACTGGAGAAGACTGCTAAGGCCACAGTTGGGACAGGCTAAAAATGCTGGACTAAATCTGGATTCTCTAACCCTGCCCCTTTTTTCTTAAAGACTTATCCAAATAGCTTAACTCATTGGATTGCCCCCTCATTTCCAGGAGACAAAACATGCTGCTGATATGCAACTTTGAACTCTGGAACAATACTCTTCTGCCTCTCTTTACACCCGAACGTGAAGTTAAAAAGCAGATGGGGAACACATTCAGAGTTTCCAAGAAACTCCTGTATGTGCCCACAAGGCCAAACCCCCAATGCTGTTTATTGTGGTCACTGCAGTATTTCTAGCAACCAGTGCAGGGGCTGGCACACAGTAAATGCTCCCTAAATAACTGCCGAAAGAATGACCAAGTCTGAGGAAAACAATGTAAAGATGCACAGTCCTCTTCTGTGATCACAATATACACTTTTCTTGGACCCAGGCACACAGCAGGTGGATTCAGAAGGCAGGGCACCTATGTACAACGGACAGGAGAGAGGGAGAAGATAGGAAGGCTCAAGCACTGGAACAGCGTGTGCCTGCACAGGTGCAAGCACCTCTACCTGCCTGCGATGACAAGGCTCGTCCTGACACACTACGTGTGTGCGTAACAGGTAATAAGGAAGCTCGCTCTTCTATATGCTTCCAATAGTCTGCTCAAGAGAACATTCACCTTTCTGTGAGCGGGGAGGAAGAAATGGAAGGTTCATTTCCTCCCACATTGAGCATGTGGACACAATGATAATAAAGACGCTTATTCTCACACAAACCCACGAGATAGTAAGGCCACTGCATCCCCAACACCCAGAAGCTGTTCAATAAATATTTATCAAAGAAATAAATGAACGAATGGGAGAGAAGGGTATCTAAGGGTACTCTGCACTTGTCCATGTCAGACGAGGCTCACCCTCTTCGAGTCCTTGTACTGGAGCCCTGCACCGAGAGAGCACTCAGGCCCAGATACCAAGGACAGGGCAGATGGAGTAAATCTGCATGCCCCAGGTGAGACAGACAGACAGGGACAGATAGACAGAGACAGAGAGAAATGGAAATAGAGAGACAGATGGTATAGTAATATAAAGATACAGGCTGTTCATTTCCATACTGTGTGGTGTGCACACAAGATCAGCAATAAGAGAGCCCTTTGCTCTTCACCTCGTCTCCAATTCAAGAGTCTGTGGTGGCCATCTTAAAGAAGCTCACAGTTCTGCCTGCAAGTCTAGGGAGATAAGGGACAACTTATGAGCTCAAACTCCTACACATCCTGTAGGTGTGAAGCTTCTCCACAAACGTGCATGTCTCTTTGCCCTCCAAGGATATGAGGTGAGGGTGCCCTGAGTGAGTGGGGGGAATAGCAAAGCTCATTCTTTGGCACCTCCAGCATTTGTGCCTATCTGTACTGTGGATCTGGATGAAGTTCATTCTCCTAAAGGTGCCCACCAGAGAGCCTGTCCAGTGATTGTCCTGCCTTGTACATTACTGTATCCTCGACACTCAATCCTGACACATCACAGTGCCTGACACATCACAGAAACTCCACATATATTCAGAAAGGCAAGAAGGGAGAGATAACAGCATTCAGTCCTGCCATATGTAGGCATGGCTTCCTCTCTTTGAAGCCTTGACTGGAGACAATATTAGAGAGAGCGCTTACATCTAGGTTGAAAGGAAGGGAAGGAGGGAGCACATGGGAAGACTCTGGTCCCTGCTCACGACCCTGTGTGTGGAAGGCAGGAGGAAGAGAATAAAGAAAAAGCTCACTCTCCAGCATTCGGGGCACCTGAACACATAGACATTATTTGATAAGGACATTTCTTCTAGAACACAGACAAGCCCACCAGACAGAGAGCTCCAAACCCCTAACTATTCTGTTCTCCTGTGCTTCCTCAACAGCCACCAGTCACTCAAAAACTCTCACTGGGAAGGAAGGGAGGGGAGGGAGGGGAGAGAGACGAGGGAGGGGTGATGTATAGGCTCTGTCCTTCTTGGTGCTGTCAAGCCCACCCTCTCTGAATCCTTGCCCAGGTGCATTGCATTGAGACAGCACTAGCACCCAGATAGCAAGGATTAGAGAGGGGGAGCAGGGCAGAAGGCTCAGGACGTGCATACCACATGGACATCTGTGTGAGGGGATAAAGAGAAGCCCCATTCCTGCACCCTGAGCCCATGTATCCACAGGCATTGTCATAAGGAAGTTGACTCTTCAAGAGTCTGCTAGACAGAAAGGCTGGTGTCCCTGAGCAGTTAGCTCCCCGTAGCATCCCCAAACAGCAGAACTCAGGAAATTTGTTAAATGGATGGACAAAGAAATGTACACACAAATAGCTGACTGAAAGAATAGCAAAGAACAGTAAGGGAAGAGTTGCACAGGCTCTGTCCTATACCTAAAGCAGCCTCCCAATCTCGTATCCCTGCACAAGCTCACTGCTCCAATAAGCCAGCACTCATGCCCAGGCTGCACAGTCCAGGCACCTGCACACCATACATGCATTTAAGTGTGTGTGTGCAACACGGAAGTTCACACTTCTGCAGACAAGTGTAAATAATAACAAAGCCTCTCTCCTGCCTTTCAGTTTTGTGCAGAAATGTGTCTATGTTTACGTGTGTGTGTGTGTGTGCGCGCGCACGCACAGGGGGAACGTGGGTATGCATAGGAGAAGAAGGCGGCTGGATCCCTGGCACATCCTGCATGCCTGTCTTCTAGCCTGGAGAAGTTCATTCACCCCACACCTCCACCAGACAGGAAGTCCTTTAAAGAGAGACACACACTGTCTCTTATTCAGCAGGATATTCCTAGCACAGTGCATGACACATAAAAAGTGATCAATAAACATGTGCTGATTGAATTGTTCGGCAGAAGGTTCATGATGACAAGGCTCGCCCTCCTGTAATCCATGCACACAGGAGGTGCTTTCAGAATTCACAACTCCGATATGCAATGGGTACAGGAGAAGGAGCAGTTCGTTCTTCTGCACATCTCGTGTGTGTGTGTGTACATGAAACAGCACTCTCCGGCTCACAAGGTAACTTGCCTATGATTACACAGAGGGGAAGTGTTTTTTCTGCAGATGCATGTGTGAGATAAGCAATATGTCAGGGCCGCTTTCCATTCAAGCTCTGGCTGTGGAAGGAGCAGGTAGAAAGCTCACTGCCCTGCACATTGGACATGGGCAACAGGACACTGCTAATGATGCTCAGTATCCTATGCATACTGTGGATGCAGCTCCGTGTACAGGGGATGCACCTTCTGTGTTTCTATACCTGAGTGCTGTGTGTGTGCGTTTACAGGGAAGGCTCACTTTTCTGCATATAGTGTGTTCACATGTGACTGTACAGAAAGGTACAGAAAAGAATTTCTCCTGCACACAGCAGCATGAAGGAGAGCTAGTAAGGCCTCCTTCATTTAGTCTCTATTGGTGGGAGGGTTAGGAAAGCTTGCTGGGCTGCATGCGTGGGTGGGAGGGAGCCAGCACAGCAGGCTCCATCCCCTGCCCTCCCTGTAAGTGGGAGTCTCCACATGCAGGTCCATGTCGCTGGGTGTGTGTGGAGGATGGGGCGGGCAGAAATCTCGCTCTAGCATAACCTGCACATGCTCATGTTTGCAGAATGGGTAGCAAGGAACATATAGATCTACTTCATTCTCTTGAACAGTGGCCTCTTAGCCCACAGCATCCAGTGTCCTAGTGTGCTTACCCCCACCAGAATGTAAGGGTAGCAGTCTTGCCTGTTTTGATCCCTGCTACATCCTCTGTGACCAACATAGTACCCGGCATCTAGTAGATACTCAGATATCTGTGGAAAGAAGGGAAAAGAGGAGGGAGAGTTGCTGTACAGGAGCTCTGTCCTTCTAAATGTAGACAATGCTCCTTCCCTTGGAGTCCTTGAATGGGGACAGTGATTCAAGACAGCACCGACACCTAGGCTGAATGAAGGAGAGTGATGCACCCGGTCAGGGACCCATTCTGTGGTACATGTCTCTGTGTGTACCAGTCGGACCCTTCTGCACAGTACATTGATGTGGGATGGTACTGAGGTTTAGAAGATTCTCCTATACACATCTGTGTGAGACAGGAGCGGGGTGGGCATGTCAGGTCCCAATGTGCAGCCCACCCACCCTCAGGACATGCAGGCATAATGAACGAGAAGGAATCCATTATCCAACCTGCAGGAAGGGACCAGATGTGGTTCATTCTCTTGTGGGCCAGTTGCCCAGCACAGCACCTGAAATAGAGCAGGTACTCAACAGGTTGTTATACAAAGGAGGGAGGGAGGATGTAGAGGTGCTCTGTTCTATGCGAAGATGACACTCTCCCTCTCGGAATCCTTGCCCAGGTGCATTGCATTCAGAAAGCACTCTCACCCAGGTAGCAAGGATTAGAGAGGGGGAGCCAGAACAGAAGATTCCAGCACCTACACACCTTCCGTGTGTGTTTAACAAGAAGGCTCACTATTCTTGCCCAGTGCATTTACATAGGATTGAACTAAAGTAAGGAGAAGGTTCTCCTACAAACATCAGCGTGAGAGCAGGAATGAGAAGTGTCACACTTGTTTGTAAGCTGAGGGAGGGTAGATAAGAAGTCCCCTACGTGGCCCAATCACCCTCAGTACATGCAGGGGTGGTGGGTGATGGCAAAGTCCATCCTCCTCCCTGGACTGTAAGGGCCAGGAGGGCAGGGGCCAAGTCTGTCTTGTCCACTCTTCTGCATCCAAAGCCCAGCACAGTACCTAGTAAATACTATTTGAGGAGAGAAAGAATGAACGAAGGACAGATGGCAGGCAGGCACACAGCAGGCAGCTGAGAGGTGATATACAGATCCTCTGTCCTTCTCCACGCAGAGGAGCCTCGCCCTCTGGAATCCTTGCCCAGGTGCATTGCATTCGGAAAGCACTCTCACCCAGGGACGAAGGATGAGAGAGGGAGAGCAGAATAGAAAACTCGGGCACCCGCACCCTGTATGTGTGTGTATGTGCATATTTAACTCTCATGGTCCCTTTCCCGCAAAGCATCACTATGTGCATTTAATAAGATTGATCTCCCCAGAGTGTGAAAATGTATTCATCCCCATGCATAAGGTCACACGGCCATTCTCTCTCAGACAGAGCCTCCAACATGTACTGTGAGCAGCACTGTTTTCAGATCACACATGAGAGACTGCATGTGTTGGCTGTGTGTTTGGGGGTTAACAAGAAGGCTGGGACAGTCTGGGTAGGTGGGCATGCATATGCATGCACATGTTGGAGGACATACAGTAAGGGGATACTTTATTCCCTTCCATTCTTCTGCGAAACTATGAGCTCGTTGAGGGCAACAAATGGTTGTGTGAGTCTCATCACCCAATGTTATGTTTCCCCATTACAGTATCTGACACAGAGTAAGCTGTCCACAGGGAATGAAGCCCAATCTCCCAAGGTGTCCTCTAGAAGGCCCAGGGATGAGGACTCTGGGACAGGGATCTTGTCTATCTTATTCACCATCTAACACCCAGTGTAGGGGCTGGCACCTCACGGCAAACTCAAATATTTGAAGAAAGGTGGGAAAGTGGAAGAGGTGATGTACAGGCACTCGGTCCTTCTACATGCAGACAGGGCTCAGCCTCTTTGAATCCTTGAATAGGTGTGTTGCACTGAAATGGCACTCACACCTAGGTTCCAAGGATTCGAGAGGGGGAGCAGACAAGAAGGCCAGGCACCTGCCCTTTGTGTGTTCGTGCGTGTGTGTGTGTGTGTGTGTGTAGCTATGACAAATAGTCTTGTTCTTATGTATATATGGTGTCATTTATGAATGATCGTACAGAGAGGCAGAGAATGTTCTCTCCTGCATAGTTCTGTGTACATCAGAGAAGATTCATGCTTTTGTGTGTATATTTATGGGCAACAATGGTAATGAGAAGTCCACTCTGTGGCCTACCCACTCAGGGCAAGTAGGTGTAATGGCTGATGGGGAATTCCATTCTTCTCCCTTGTCTGTAAGCAACACGAGGGCAGGGACCAGGAGTGTCTTGTTTAGTACTGTATGCTCATTGCCCAACTTAGTATCATGTATAGAAGAGGTGATCAATAAATATTTGTGGAACGGATGGAAGGAGGATAGAAAGGTGCTCTGTCCTAAATGAAGATGAAGCTCTCGCTCTCGGAATCCTTGCCCAGGTGCATTGCATTCAGACAACACTCTCACCCAGGTAGCAAGGATTAGAGAGGGGGAGCAGAGCAGAAGGCCCTGCATGGGTTTAACAGAACTTGCTGTTTTTCACAGAAGGTGATTACTTGTGATGATACAGAAGTAAAGAGAAGGTTCTTGAGCTTCACATTAAAGACGTCTAGTTGAACACATATTTTGTCTGTTCTTTCAGATAACAACAACAAAAGCAATGACAAGAAGGTATAAACCTACAAAGACAAAGAGACTGGGAGGAGAGTGAGCGAGAGGAAAGAGAGAGAACGAATATGAGCTATCACCAAGCTCATTATCCCCCAAACGCTCTGTTGAATATTTGACCAGAAGGCAGTATAGTCGAGTGCAGCTGTTCTCAAACTTCAACACACATCAGAATCACCTGGAGAGGCTGGCAATGCATAGGTTACCTCTTAATGGTACCAAGAAAATGAAATAGGATGACAAATAAAATGGGGCACAGCACCTAGCACGCAGCTCTCATTATTTGTACTTCTTACCCTCCATTTACGTGTGTATATGGATTTGAATGAGTGTGCATTAAGAGGGGTGGTCACACTTCTGCATGCAAGACACATGTGAGAGGGCAGTTTCCCTCTCCTCTACTGTGTGTATGAGAGAGGAACCATTGCAGTAAGAAGATGCACTCTCCTGCAAACGCAGCATATGAGAATGGGGCTTATAGAGCTCATTGTTCAACAGGCAAGAGTACAACCACAAGCGCAGTTGAGGGCCTGTGCCTTCATAATGGAGATGCATTCCTCCATGTAGTTCTGCACGGGGTGGGGGCAGCACATGCCGCCCATACAAAGAGTAGGGTAAGCTGAAGCTTGTTCTGCAAACCCTGCATGTTGAAGGGAGTTTTAGAAAGCTCACCTTCCCCTAGGCAAGGGATGTGAGAGGATGCAGGTGAGCTGGCTCACTGCCCTGAATGTTTCACGTGCGTGTATGTATCAGAGAGTACCCAGACAGAGGGGAAGGAGTCATAAAGTGAATTTTTTGAGTGAATGAGAGTGTGTGTGTGAGAGAGAGAGAAATAGAGAAAAATACAAATTAATGACTGAGAATGGAGGCATTTGCCCCTGAGAACACAAAACCAAAGGTTCCTGTGTCTTCCATCTCTGAACCCTCACCTGCCTATATATGCTGTGCACTCAGCCACGTGTGGGCCTCCCATGAATGCTCATCCTCCTGTCTACCTTGCTTGTGTGTATGTGCATGTCTGAGTATCTGTGAACGTGAGAGAGAGCCCTAACAAGTGAGTGGACCTTCATTCAACAGCTTCTCAGGGAAGAACACTGAGACAACTCATGGTTCTTCCTCGGAGGCCTGAGAGAGCAGGGCAGGGCAGGAAGGCTCTATCCTTGCTCACCTCATCAGTGGGACTCTGTGCATACAGGTCCACACCCCTAGATAGATGCCTGTCTGTCCTGAGGGATAGGACAGGGTACTCAGTGGGTAGGGACTAAAGAGTAAACTCATTCACCAGCATGTGTGCACACCTGCACAGTGGGTACAAATGAGGTTCCTCTTCCCATATGTACCCTCTAGCCAGTAAACTCAGGTGACTATGACTGTCCTGTTTACCGCTGGCTCACTTTTCCCAGCCCCTTGAACACATGAAGGCAGGCTTAATGGGAACGTGAATTTTATTCTCTGGCACAAGCTCAAGAGACCCTGGTGCCCTGGTAAGCCCCTGATGCTTTGCTCACTCTTGGATTCCCAAATCCAAGAGACATTCAAAAAGATCTGTGAAAGGAATGAGGAGAGGCGATAGGCACTCTGTTC